GTGATTTTAAGCATATTAATGGATTTCTAAGTGCTAATAAATATCTAAATAAATACGTAACAATATATTCATAAATATATATTTATATTTATATAATGTATATACCACAATAAGATATCCGTAAGTTATTTATTAATGATATTTATTCAGTTTGGCGGCTATTGGATATAACTATCACGATAAGAGGATAAATATAATAAATGTCTAAGCAATAGCCTAATTATTGCTTTCTTAATTCGGATAATCTGCTAAATTGCACCTAATACAAAATATTCCTTTACATTATATCAACTCATCTGCTTTCCGAATTTTTAGAGTTAACACTCGGAATTCCGTGCGGCGGTTTAAGAATACACTGCTCAAAATTGCAGCAACTTGGAAACATGGTAACTAATTGAATTTGGTTTAAATTTCATAGTAAAATATGTAAATGCAAAGCAGTATTCCAGCTTTTGCATGTTGAAATTATTAGTCCAGCATGAATTTTGTTTATCAGGGTTGAAAGACCATTTCATTCAAGCTTCTCACCCCTTTTATCCTCCTCCTTCAAGTGCGTCTCAGCCCAAGGAGTACAGTCGGAGCGTTTCAACTTGTGCCTTTTTGGGTGCCCCTTAGGCGGCGAAATAGCTGAACTGGGAAGATGGACAAAGAAATCCTCTGTCTTGGCATGTGCGTCAAGACTGGGGACGGCCTCTGTTGCCGACGAAGCGGCTGAGCCGGTCTTGAAGTTTGTGCTGACTCGGATTGTTGGCGAAGGAGGCAGATCGTCTTGCGGAGTGACAACACCTTCAGAGAAGCGAGCCGCAATTGGGTCGGAAATCCGCGACATAACAAGGATCCATGCAAGGTTGATGTAGCGAAGTAAGGTGAGTCGGATCTTTTGGCAGACCAACGGGTCTTTTTCTGAGATGCAGGACTAAAATTATTAGTTAGAATGTGATTGATTTGAGAGTATTTATTCTTTCTGTGTGCTATATTTTGGGTACCTACTTAGTTAAACTCTAGCGAAACTTTTTCCCTATCAAATTACACTACAAGTTTCATTAATAAATGAATTTCTTCATTTCAACGAGGGGAAAAAGAGGTTTGGTATCCTAAACTCTGACTAAAGTAAATAGCTGCTCTGGAGAAACATAAAATCCAATTCAGATGAAGAAGTGAAGAAGAAAATGTGTTTTATCAGATTCTTTCTGTGTGGAAACAAAGATACAGGTCTAAACACTTTTGAAAAATCGCAAACTCCTAAAGCTGCCTACTGCATGCACCTTTTCCCCAGAACGATTATTGAATAAATCATCGTAAAAATGCCGAGATAACTTAAGGCGGTAGAAATAGACACTCAAAAGTTATTCCTATGACAAAACATTCATGGTTTAGCCTAGTAACAGAAGGGCTAGAAGAGTAGTTTAGTAATTTTTTATAAGTTGCTTAATATATTAAAATTCCTCTCTTTGGTGTGGTGCTTCATGAAGAAAGAGGCCTAAGCACAGGTTTTTGATAGGTTATCAAATTAGTTGATGTGTTTTATTAACCAAACCTAAATGAATTGCATAGAATTGTGCTCATTTGCAACTCACTACTCTCAACTGTCGACAACGGGCTGACCTCCATATAGATTAAATGTGTCATAAATGGCTTTTCAGGTTGATCTCACCAGAAGACGAAATTTCTTCTCTGTGCCAATTAATAACTCAAGTCATCCCAGCTCGCTTAAAGTCATGAAGGAATGATAATTTATATTTTTCATAATT